CAACACAATGTACGTTATGTTACAATGTAAGTATGTGTTCAATACGGTTTTGGTGAAAGCAAAATGTACGTTATGTTCCCATGAAAGTATGTGTTCTATACGGTTTTTGACTACACATACAAAGAGTGACACAGTTTTGGACCTCACATTAAAACCAATCTTTTTTTTCTCTAGACCCTCATCTTCTAATGAAAAAGTTCATGTTAAAGAGCACTTAAACAATATGCACTTGTTCGAGGGCATGGGTTGGGCGAATGATACTTTATAATTTATGACTTAGGAGTATTTGAAAACTACATATATTACCTGTGGTCACTACACTATCCACACTATATTTGACAACTCCCTATATTACCTGTGGTCACTACACTATCCACACTATATTTGACAACTCCCTATATTACCTGTGGTCACTACACTATCCACACTATATTTGACAACTCCCTATATTACCTGTGGGCACTACACTATCCACACTATATTTGACAACTCCCTATATTACCTGTGGTCACTACACTATCCACACTATATTTGACAACTCCCTATATTACCTGTGGTCACTACACTATCCACACTATATTTGACAACTCCCTATATTACCTGTGGTCACTACACTATCCACACTATATTTGACAACTCCCTATATTACCTGTGGTCACTACACTATCCACACTATATTTGACAACTCCCTATATTACCTGTGGTCACTACACTATCCACACTATATTTGACAACTCCCTATATTACCTGTGGTCACTACACTATCCACACTATATTTGACAACTCCCTATATTACCTGTGGTCACTACACTATCCACACTATATTTGACAACTCCCTATATTACCTGTGGTCACTACACTATCCACACTATATTTGACAACTCCCTATATTACCTGTGGTCACTACACTATCCACACTATATTTGACAACTCCCTATATTACCTGTGGTCACTACACTATCCACACTATATTTGACAACTCCCTATATTACCTGTGGTCACTACACTATCCACACTATATTTGACAACTCCCTATATTACCTGTGGTCACTACACTATCCACACTATATTTGACAACTCCCTATATTACCTGTGGTCACTACACTATCCACACTATATTTGACAACTCCCTATATTACCTGTGGTCACTACACTATCCACACTATATTTGACAACTCCCTATATTACCTGTGGTCACTACACTATCCACACTATATTTGACAACTCCCTATATTACCTGTGGTCACTACACTATCCACACTATATTTGACAACTCCCTATATTACCTGTGGTCACTACACTATCCACACTATATTTGACAACTCCCTATATTACCTGTGGTCACTACACTATCCACACTATATTTGACAACTCCCTATATTACCTGTGGGCACTACACTATCCACACTATATTTGACAACTCCCTATATTACCTGTGGTCACTACACTATCCACACTATATTTGACAACTCCCTATATTACCTGTGGTCACTACACTATCCACACTATATTTGACAACTCCCTATATTACCTGTGGTCACTACACTATCCACACTATATTTGACAACTCCCTATATTACCTGTGGTCACTACACTATCCACACTATATTTGACAACTCCCTATATTACCTGTGGTCACTACACTATCCACACTATATTTGACAACTCCCTATATTACCTGTGGTCACTACACTATCCACACTATATTTGACAACTCCCTATATTACCTGTGGTCACTACACTATCCACACTATATTTGACAACTCCCTATATTACCTGTGGTCACTACACTATCCACACTATATTTGACAACTCCCTATATTACCTGTGGTCACTACACTATCCACACTATATTTGACAACTCCCTATATTACCTGTGGTCACTACACTATCCACACTATATTTGACAACTCCCTATATTACCTGTGGTCACTACACTATCCACACTATATTTGACAACTCCCTATATTACCTGTGGTCACTACACTATCCACACTATATTTGACAACTCCCTATATTACCTGTGGTCACTACACTATCCACACTATATTTGACAACTCCCTATATTACCTGTGGTCACTACACTATCCACACTATATTTGACAACTCCCTATATTACCTGTGGTCACTACACTATCCACACTATATTTGACAACTCCCTATATTACCTGTGGTCACTACACTATCCACACTATATTTGACAACTCCCTATATTACCTGTGGTCACTACACTATCCACACTATATTTGACAACTCCCTATATTACCTGTGGTCACTACACTATCCACACTATATTTGACAACTCCCTATATTACCTGTGGTCACTACACTATCCACACTATATTTGACAACTCCCTATATTACCTGTGGTCACTACACTATCCACACTATATTTGACAACTCCCTATATTACCTGTGGTCACTACACTATCCACACTATATTTGACAACTCCCTATATTACCTGTGGTCACTACACTATCCACACTATATTTGACAACTCCCTATATTACCTGTGGTCACTACACTATCCACACTATATTTGACAACTCCCTATATTACCTGTGGTCACTACACTATCCACACTATATTTGACAACTCCCTATATTACCTGTGGTCACTACACTATCCACACTATATTTGACAACTCCCTATATTACCTGTGGTCACTACACTATCCACACTATATTTGACAACTCCCTATATTACCTGTGGTCACTACACTATCCACACTATATTTGACAACTCCCTATATTACCTGTGGTCACTACACTATCCACACTATATTTGACAACTCCCTATATTACCTGTGGTCACTACACTATCCACACTATATTTGACAACTCCCTATATTACCTGTGGTCACTACACTATCCACACTATATTTGACAACTCCCTATATTACCTGTGGTCACTACACTATCCACACTATATTTGACAACTCCCCATATTACCTGTGGTCACTACACTATCCACACTATATTTGACAACTCCCTATATTACCTGTGGTCACTACACTATCCACACTATATTTGACAACTCCCCATATTACCTGTGGTCACTACACTATCCACACTATATTTGACAACTCCCTATATTACCTGTGGTCACTACACTATCCACACTATATTTGACAACTCCCTATATTACCTGTGGTCACTACACTATCCACACTATATTTGACAACTCCCTATATTACCTGTGGTCACTGCCCACGCCGAACTACCTCACCAAAAAAAACTGCACCAATCTTCCTACCTAAACACAACCACTGCTAGCGAGCATTGTATTGGTAACTCGAAAGAGGCTGATACATATGTAAACAATATGTTAACATTTTAAACAATCTGTCAATATATTAATAATATGTTAACATTTTAACAGTCTATCAACATTTTAACAATATGTGTAACAACCTCGTAAAATGTTAACAAAAATGTCCACCCCAAACATTTTTTCTACAAACATTATTGATTGCATAAGTCCTTGATCGTCGCTTCTGTGTACTCTGATAATAAAGTGAATAATTCGGTAATTGTCTGGGCTTTAATTAATCACCTTCTGGACAGCTTAATTATCGATAATGACGGGAAACGTTTTGGACAGATCGAGTTTTATTTTTATCTATACTTTCTCTTACATATAACGATGTCATTCAAATAGCCGTGTTATCGATTTTTTTAAACTATTAGATAAAAAATGTAACATTTAAAATTGCTCTATTTCAGGAACTGCGTCCAGTAAAGAGATCAGCGTCTAGACCTACAGACATCTGTCAATATCTGCCAGATCTACAGACACCTGTCAATATCTGCCAGACCTACAGACATCTGTCAATATCTGCCAGACCTAAAGACATCTATCAATATCTGCAGACCTACAGACATCTGTCAATATCTGCCAGACCTACAGACATCTGTCAATATCTGCCAGACCTACAGACATCTGTCAATATCTGCCAGATCTTCAGACATCTGTCAATATCTGCCAGATCTACAGACATCTGTCAATATCTGCCAGACCTAAAGACATCTGTCAATATCTGCCAGATCTACAGACATCTGTCAATATCTGCCAGATCTAAAGACATCTGTCAATATCTGCCAGACCTACAGACATCTGTCAATATCTGCAGACCTACAGACATCTGTCAATATCTGCCAGACCTACAGACATCTGTCAATATCTGCCAGACCTACAGACATCTGTCAATATCTGCCAGATCTACAGACATCTGTCAATATCTGCCAGATCTACAGACATCTGTCAATATCTGCCAGATCTAAAGACATCTGTTAATATCTGCCAGACCTACAGACATCTGTCAATATCTGCAGACCTACAGACATCTGTCAATATCTGCCAGACCTACAGACATCTGTCAATATCTGCCAGACCTACAGACATCTGTCAATATCTGCCAGATCTACAGACATCTGTCAATATCTGCCAGACCTAAAGACATCTGTCAATATCTGCCAGACCTAAAGACATCTGTCAATATCTGCCAGATCTGCAGACATCTGTCAATATCTGCAACCGATTTCCCCACATTGATTTAGGATCGATTGGCTATTTACAAGCCAGCGGTCAAGCGTGGGACATCTGGTTAATTAGATATCCCTTCGCCGCCAATTAAAAATAACATTTTGACTAAATTAGCCGTGTTTTTATGGCTCACGGTCACGCGAACAATAATTAAATTTTATGTGTGGACATTTTTTTAGGGATCCAGGAAGTTTTTACAATGTCGATTGAAACAAATGTCTCATTCAACGGGATTACGTCATTGAAAGAAACATTAACATGCTGATAAAACCGTAAAGGCCTTTAAAACATTTATTTTTGGAAAGTTATTCCAAATACAACTAATCCTTACGTGATGGTTCATAGCGCTCTGGATCAAATAGTTCGTGCTATTTTTAGAACGTCGAATACCCGATTGCTATCAACGCTGTCGTGTTGAGTTTCCCAACCCTGGGTTGTTGCCCTGGTTGTCAAGATGGCTGACAACAGCTCAGCCACCCCTGGCAACCCCTTCAAAGACGAAGAAACCTACCAGCTTTATCTGTTCATCAAACACAGCCAAACCACTTTGATCCCGTTCATATGTGGAATCGGATTCGCCGCGAATATCGTATCGCTGATTGTATTCATGCAGCCCAGCTTAAGACGTCTGTCTTGCAGTGTGTACCTGGCCGTGAAATCGGTATCGGATTTTCTATTCCTGACGACAGCCTTCGTTATTTGGCTGACCCGGATACAGATCGGTCTATTCAACATGGAGGGGGTGTGTCAACTTGTCATCTTCTTCTCTTACCTCTCGGCCTTTGTGTCCATCTGGCTGACAGTGGTTCTCACAGTAGAAAACCTGCTCTGTGTCCTTAAGCCCCTGTATGTTCAAAGATCCTGCAACGCCACGTCTGCCATAGTTTTAACCGCATCCATTATCCTGCTTGGAGTTGTTCTATACCAATTCTCACTGTGGAACAACGGCGTTCAAGAACCTCTCAGTCATATTGTAAACCCTCAAACTACTTTCAACAAGGGTAACTCTACCATTACAAAATACGAAAACGAAAGTAAGTTAAATTTAAGCTCCCATGAAGGTTTGTCTAAACTTGTGACAGTCGAGAACGATACGTTGCTGTCGATGTCAAACACGACAGATGTTGTACCTGGCAAGGTGTGCTCACCCTTGAAGCAGTACGAGACGTTTATCTGGGCCATCACCTACCTTGATTCTCTCATCACCATCTTCGTGCCTATGATCATCCTCGCCGTCACCAACACCGCCATCGTCGTCATCGCCATGCGCTCCACCCGCCGCACGAAAATGCGCCACAAAGACACGACCATGTACCAACTGCAAGGCGGCTGCCACAAAGGGAAAAAACAATCCACAGCAGCCGCTCTGGAAACACAGGCCAGCAAGTTTCTATTTTTAGTCTCGGTCACCATGTTGGTGTTCCACTCGCCGAGTCACGTGATCAGGCTCAAGATGATGGTGTCGTATTCCGGGATGGAGGTCATCCTTCAGATTGTGTTCGAGACCGTCTACTACACCCACTACGCCATCAGCTTCTTCGTCTACCTGGTGTTCGGATCCAACTTCAGACGTGTGTTCCTGTCTCTTGTCACCAGACGATAGACGTCTGCTGCAGTTCGTTGACTTAGCAATATGGCCGCTTATTTGTGGTTCATTTGACGTCAAGCTTTACACGTAAACTTTTATGTTGTGATTTGGCGTCAATCACCACATGTTACGTATGTTGTGATTTCAAGTCAAGCATTACAAGTAAACAGTTTTGTATTTATTGTGATTTGAACAGTTGCCTTGTGTGGTTTAAGCCTGGCTTCTCAACTGGAAATGACATCTTGCGATATCTGAACACAAAACGTAACTTTCTACCAATCGATACCATTGTATTGAACGTCAATCTCAACCTACAACAGAATTCATATTCCTAGTTATCCCTACTCCAACCTAGCTATAGCCCCAAATTTCTGTCACCTGTAGCAGAACTTTGTCTCACCTGATACCAGACACAAGTTTTTTCATCATTTGACGTGACCCACTATTGCTTGTGACATCAGGTGGGGTATCATCCGGAACACGCACCTGAATGGGTCTAGAACAACACTCATTTCTCCGCAATCTTTCAAAATCTTCTTCGGCCTTAATAATAATAATATATGTAATGTAATTATAATGCTAAAATATGTTTCTGTAATTACCTTTCATTTAAATACTTATAATAAGCACTTTTTTTGTTTTAAATTAAAACTATACATTTTAAAACACAAGTTTTTAAAGGTATTTCATGCCAACACACAGGTGCGGAACACCTGGGGGGGGGGGGGGGGGGGAAGGGGGTGGGCACGCCATTTGGGGCCCACAGCTAACCATAATCAATTTTTGAAGGATATTTCTTTTTTTTTCATTTTTAGCTTAATGATTGTTTTGTAAAAAGAATACTTTAGAATACTGTATGTATGTATATATATATATATATATATATATATATATATATATATATATATATATATATATATATATATATATATATATATATATATATTCTAGTTCCGCCACTGCAAACACAACACCAGGAAAAGCTATTCTGTTATTGCTGAGTGTTGTAGTTGTACACCAACATGGTCGATAAAATTGTGGACTCGGAATTCCTTTGGTGGAGAGGACAAATACAAGATCTACAACCCATGTCGTGACGATCGTTGAAGCTTACTCGAAACCTTCTAAGTGTCTGGCTGTAATTCATTCTTCTAGGTAGGAAAGGAAATCGATATTTGAACATGACTGAAGGCCTCTTTTTCAAACACCGTGTCTTTGCCAGCCGCTAATGAGAACCCAGGGGACGTGGCCTTGACCATGGTGGTAATGATCCCATCTGTAAATGATCCACCAGGGGAGCGGTAGGGGGGTGGGGGGGCAGGACCCAGGTGTGGCATATTGCGCCTTACATGACAGCCTGTTCTGTTACAGTGAGCCACATTTGTAAATTCCATTTGAATCAAAGGTTTTAATTAAGGATTGCACTAAAAATGCTTACGCCCGTGTAAAATGAAACTCATTTTCGGGGTTTCATATAGTTTTGCGTCAACTCAGAAGTTTTGTCAAGATATGAAGCTCCAAAACATCCCGTGACACGTGTAGGATCAACCTATGGGGTCAGTCATAATGGGGCCATGTCCAGAAAAGGTGGGGGTCAATCATAATGAAGTCGTGTTCATAAAGGATGGGCTATGTGACTTTTTATAACACGACGTGAAGTGTGAGTTGACACGATACACGTGTAAACATTGCTCACCTGCATTATGTTTTTATTTTATAAAGAAAGCTAAAAATATAATACAGTAACAATAATGGAAATAATAATTCTTTCGTTGTTTTTAAATATATGTGACAAATATTATCTATTGAGTATGTATGGGTTAAAATGTAGTACGGCTGTCAAATATGTTTAATCGGGTGTTCCAAATTGAATTTGTGGGTGATTGACTATTTAACGTTTTTACAAGTGTATCGATAAACCCTGACCTTTGACCTTTGTTGATTACTGATATGCACGGAGTTTGGCTTGGTCTGGACACCAAGTGACCTTCAGTTGACCTTGAGCTGTTGTATGATAATAAACTCGCATGATTTCATTGCCCGGTCGTTTGCCTTTTCTGTTTTCGATGTAACATTAGCAGTGTGCCTGTGTGTGTGTGTTTGTCTTGGTGTATGTGTGTATATATTTGTCAGGGACATTCCACTGACTTATGGAAGAGGCATCAAAGGGAGTTAAGCTGCGCCTCGATCCCCGAGTCAAAATCTCTTGGAGGCCGAGATCGTCATAATGGGAAGAATTGACACAAGGTCTTAGCCCAGTGTCGGCTCAGAGGGCCGCAGCCACACGGCTCTATGTCATCTGGCCAGCGCAGCCATCTTTAAATGGAAGGGCCATCGTGTCCTCTGTTGAGTATCCTAAAAATAAACATCGCCTTAGTGAACTTCGTTTTCAATATGTATTCTTCTGGGAGCGGCTCGTAATTAAATGTTTGTGAAGAACTTAAAAACAAATGCTCCCGGAGAAGAAATCAGTATATATATATATATATATATATATATATATATATATATATATATATATATATATATATATATATATATATATATATATGTATATATGTATATATGTATATATGTATATATATATATATATATATATATATGTATATATGTATATATATATATATATATATATATATATATATATATATATATATATATATATATATATATATATATATATATGTATATATGTATATATGTATATATGTATATATGTATATATATATATATATATATGTATATATGTATATATATATATATATATATATATATATATATGTATATATGTATATATATATATATATATATATATATATATATATATATATATATATATATATATATATATATATATATATACATATATATATATATATATATATATATATATATATATATATATATATATATATGTGTCTGTATATAAATATTAAGTATGGCACAAAGACTTTATCGGGGTTTTTTTCGCTTTTCAATTCTCTTAAAAACGGTTAAGGATATTAAAGACAGGAAATGCCTATTTTTAGCAACAGTACACGTGACCTGCATTCCTACTGTCTGAGATTAAACAATAAAACTTTAATAACAGGAAATGCCATTGATACCATTGTGAAGCTTATGAATGTGGTGAAAATATTTGGTCATTTGTTCATTCAATTCAATAGCCACTACTTTTTATACTTTTAAATTAAACGGCAGGAAGTAAAACTGTTTCTGTAACAGTGTTGAGATTGTTAACTTCACATTACATTACACAGCTGTCGGATATTTTCTTTTTAAATGTCAATATAAAGTTTGTCAAATTACGTAGTACCCTCTAATACCACTGTTGCAAAAAAAAAAATTTAACAAACAAGATGTTTTATTTTGATGCTGACGGGCAAAATGGCAAACAGTTTTCTGAAGACGTATGACACAAGCCAGATGTGCGCAGATTGAGAGAACATTCTCGAATGTTTTTGAAGCAACGATGTTTACCCTCCTGGATGTTTCGCAATGTCTCGACGTGGTTCATCTGCACGGGGTCAAAGGCCACGAAGGTCAGCCGCCACCGACAAAAGCGGAAATGAAAGAAAATGTCCGAGGCTTGGGAGTTCACGTTTACGTCAGGATGTTTTTTTTTGGGGGGATGGGGTGCCATCACAGGGGTGGGGTGGGGTCAAGGTGGGGAGGGGAGAGACTCAGAAACAAGATACAAGTCTTCTTCTTCTTCTTCGTTCTTAATTATTAGTGTTGAAGGGGATCGAGAGTATCTGCCAGTGGGTTTGAACTCGAGACTTTGTTCGAATTTATCAACCATGAGCTTTTTGCCGACTCGACCACGCCTCCAACACAATTAAGCGTTACGTGTCAACTGGTTATGCGCCATTGAGGCCATTGACTCCGATTTCAGCCTGCTTTTCTTTTTGGATTTGCTTCCATAGCCTTTGTCCAACCAAGAACAAACTACAAGGCAGCAGTTGTTTAATTTTGGAGTTGTCTCTCCTAGAAGAGTGGCTGTCCCACAGCTAACGAGCCTCATCTGCCCGAGGGTTCGAACTCGAGACTTTTCGGTTTAGCAACCATGAGCTTTACCGACTCGACCACGCCGACCCCGGGGTGGGGTGGGGTCAAGGTGGGGAGGGGAGAGACTCAGAAACAAGATACAAGTAGAAGTGGGGGAGAGGCGCTCGGTCAAGGTAATGGATACAGAGATCCAGAGGCGTAGCGAGGGGGCGGGGCGGGGGTGCGGACCGCACCGGGTGACACCATTTAGGGGGGTGACACCAAGGCAAAAAATAGCAAAATATATAGAGAAAAACTTGAGGGGGGATGCAAATCGAAAGTTTGAAAGTTTGTCCCCGGAAGGGTCGCTACGCCTCTAAGGGGTGACACCGTTAAGTGCCGCACCGGGTGACACCCGACCTCGCTACGCCACTGCAGAGATCATCATTGGTAGGTTTCAGCTTATGTTTCTTATCTTTATGGAAAACTTTGCTCTGGGTTAAAACTTTTTTCACCATGTAACAGCGCTACCTAAATAACGAGCATTATCGTGTTAATTAACGGTTAAATCGTATAAAAAGCTATTTCAAATTAATGGTGTAGCTGTAAAAAGAAAATGGTAGGAGTAAAACAGCAACACTCAATTTTTAATTTTTCAATGTCAAGTTTTGGGACCTGATAGTCCCCGAGATCCCCGGTTGTGGGGGCCAGGGGGAGTTGTGGTCGTCTTATGTTGACAAGATCCAGTGTTTCTTCCAGACTTGTTTTCTCCGGAAGGGGGGGGGGGCACTTGAAATTTTCGGGGGGGGGGGGGCGGTAGACTTTCCTCGGGGGCGGGGGGCGGACACTGATAAAAAAAAAATTATTCTATATGAATTATATATATTTCATTTCGTTCGGGGGGGGGGGGCTGAATTTTTTTTTTTTCGAAGAGATACCTGGAAGAAACTCTGACAAGATCAGAAAATCAATCCTTGCTGGCGTTTGTTCAGTTTATGTCAGATATTCTGAGGATTATTTTTAATTGT